TAAATAAAGACAAGTCATCAATGTTGTTGTTCACTATTCATTCTTGCGCCTGATGCAGGTCATGTAGTTCAGACTGTCACGATGCGATGCGATAACATGTCATAGCAGTTGACATGTTACTGTAACTTGTTTCACGACATCTTGTACATGTTTTGATCTCGTGCAACATGTTGTTTCCAGTGCATCCTTATGATTTTGGTCATTACTCCGACAAGATGGTCTGCTTGGCTTGCAGCTTGTCTTCGATCAGCTTGATGTACTTGTCGACAAGAATCTGAGAGATAAGTAAGAGAGGAGAAGAAGTGAGGAGAGTAGAGAAGAGGAGAGGAGGGGGGGGAGGGGAGAGGAGGGGAGAGGAGTGGAGAGGAGGGGAAAGGAGGGGAGAGGAGTGGAGCAGAGTGAGAGGAGGGGAGAGGAGGGGAGCAGAGTGATGGGAAGCAGAGGGGAGTGGAGGGGAGTGGAGGAGGAAGAGGAAGAGGACGAGTAGGAGGATCAGCATTGACAAGTGGGGACAAGCATGCAAGAGCAGAGGCAGGGGCAAGGAGGACCTGAATTTCCTTCTCCTCCTTCTTAAGATCGTCTTTGGACATCTCGATCTTCTTGATCTGGTCCATGCAATGCTGCCGAGCCCTCCTGATGGCGATCTACAGTCTTGTAAGTTGAAGTGGAGGAGGAAGAGAGGAGAAGAGGAAGGAGGAGGAGGGGGTGTTGGAACAGGTGCAGGTGCAGGTGCAGGTGCAGGAGCAGGAGGAGGAGGAGGAAGGAGGAGGAGGAGGAGGAAGGAGGAGGAGGAAAATGATTGATCCAGACCTTAGTCTGCTCAGCGAGCGAGGAAGCATGCTTCATCAGCTTCTTTCTGCCCTCCTGCGTCACCTTGGGGATGGGAACTTTAATCTGCGACCCGGAGATCTGTAGAACAACAAAGTCACTGAATGAACCTGACAGGCACCCTCCCTCGCTTCCTCCTCCTCCCCCTCCCCTCCCCCTTATCCTTCTCCTCTTCTTCCTCCTCGTTCTCCTTCCCTGCTCCTCCTCATCTTTCTCCTCTTCTTCCTCCTCCTCCTCGTTCTCCTCCCCAACTCCCTTCCAATCCTCCTCTACCCCACTCCTCTTCCTTCCCACCCGCCCCGCCTCCAGCCCTCACTCCATGCCATTCCCTCCCTCACTTTCCCTCCTTCTGTTCCTCTGTTTCCCTCCCTATAAAAGGCTCGATCTGCTCCTGCTCCTGCTCCTGCTCCTGCTCCTGCTCCTGCTCCTGCTCCTGCTCCGTCACTGCCTCCCATCATTCTGCCCATATCTCCTCCTCCTCCTCCTCCTCCTCCTCCTCCTCCTCCTTACCGTGGGGTTCAGGTCAAGCCCCGCTCCTCGGATCGCCTTGTCCACCATGGACACGATGTTGGGGTCGAAGACATTGACCAGCAGGGTCCGGGGGTCCGGGGCAGAGACTTGCGCAACGGTAACGAGCTGTACCTCGGCATCGTCGTATGCCTTCACTCGCACCTTGTCGAGGATCCTCGGATCAGCCCGTCCTGTCTTGATGACAGCAAGCTCCTTGTCGTAGTTATCCATGATGGCGTTAAGCCCCTCCTCCATCTCCCCCACCAAGTTGGAGATGTCCACCTCCTCCACCTCCTCCTCCTCTTCCGTTGCCGCCTTGCCCTTCTTGGCCTTCTTCGAGAAGCTGCGGTCACCGAGGTATCCATCATGCTGCAGTCCCATCCTGCAGACGACAGGGCGGATCATGCTAGCCCGTGCATGAGGGATCGTTGCTCTGCATCCCTTCAATCCCACGAGGGGCACAGCCCCTCCCGCCATCCTCTCGCTGCTAGACACCATTGAGCGCATGCTCTGACGGGCTGCAGCCACTGCCCTTCCTTCTCCTCCTCTTCCTGATCGTCTTAATGCTCCTCCTCCTCCTCCTCCTCCTCCTCCTACCTTGTGCAACAGTCGCAACCCTCTAGCGGCCAGCATTGTTTATTCGATCCTCGATCGTTACGCAATCGTAACCACCAAGTAACTGAATCGTAACCGATTGACTGCGAAGGTGCGGCGCGGCTGATGAGTGAGCCTCAATAGTTACCAGTGACTTAGTTACCAGTGAGTCAACCGTTAGTTACTGACGGAATACAAGTTTGTTAGACTTGTACTAGTCCAAAGTCACGCAGATATCACATCGACTTTAGTTGTAACAAGACAGTTTTTGCTCAAGACCGAGTTTAATGCACACAAATCCAGAATTGAGGACTCACATGAGAGATAGACTGTATGCTAGGATGTGAAACCCAAGCATCCAGACATGAGAGGACCTTAGCAAGACGGCTAGGAAAGCCCCCTCTTCGTCCACACACGCTACATTGGCCGCCTCGCAAAACACGTAAGTCGTCTTGGTTTACAGGAGAGTTTTTGTTAACTCGGCGCTATCTGACTGGCACGGCTGGCATACGTTCCATCAGTTACCAGTGAGTCAACTTACTACTAGGCACTCGGAACCGAGTCTCACGCTGGCTGCATCAAGCCTGAAGTTTATCATAGTATGCTAAGTGTGTGCAGCGGCAAGAGACTCGGATGATAAGGAGGCCGCCGGGCTCCGACTAAGGGTGCAGCCCATTGAACCGTCCCGGAGTCCTGTCACCGTTGCAGCCTGGCAAGGGTGCGAGCCGCAGACGCACTGCGCAGTCACTCATGATTATTATAGAGAAAAGTACCTGTAACTTAGTAAAGCTCCGATCGGATATGATATACCGGCCGGGCGGCCGGGCGGGCCCGCGCCGCCGGGCAACCGGCGGCCCGGCCCCGTCGGGCCCCGCCGCCCGACCGGCCCCCGGGCCGCCGCCGGAGTATGAGGTGACCGGAGGGCCGTATTATCTTCGGTTAGTCATATTGGAGGTAGTACTGTAAGCCTTTGAGCACGGAAAGTGACTCTTTGACCGAGTCACGCGGGCTGCTGACAAAACGGTCACGACTTCTGCCCCTTTCGGCATCAATAGGTCGGAATGAAAGATTGAACAAGAGTTCGTTCGGCTTACACGAAATTTTGGTGACCAGGAGATGGGTGGGGTCCTTACCCTATGACCCTACCCTCAATTTGACTGTTTCTTCTAGGTACTGTGTATCATTTTACAGTCAGCAGCAGCTGTGGTGGGTCCGCAACAACTTCTTTACTACATCATGCTGACTGCTGGCGGAACCACGCTGGATAAAGGGGGGGGGGGGTTGTGGGCAAAAGTTTCTACGAGGGTGCAAAGTACTGGTAAAAGGTGGGTACATTATGTGTGGAATTGGGGGTAGGGGTAACCCACCCCCCGTCAGCGGTGGACCGAACTTCCATCGGGGTAGGGGTACTCCTTGTGACTGGGGGGGAGGTCAGTTAGGCTGAAGGCGGTGTGTGAGGGGGTAGGGTGGACCAACCAATGACAAGCAAATTATGAATTGACTTAGGAGAATGAAGGGGTTTGAATAAGGATTTTGAGGGGGTGGGGGTGAAGGGGGTATTCCTTGTTTGGGGTGGTCATCTTTCAGTGAACTCTCAGAGGGGTGGGGTGCTTCGCTCAGTAGGGTTATTTTTGCCTCAAGATTACACGACTGAGGTCCCAGGCGAAATGAGGGTAGGGATATAAAAGTACGGGTTCTTTGACTGAAATATGTAGGTCAAGGGGTGGGTAGAAGGAAGGGGTCGTTCACAAGGGGGTAGGGTAGTAAAAACAGGGTATTTGAGCAGAGCAGAAGGGCCGCCATTCTGAAAGAAGCCATGCAGGGGCACATCGTCCATGGTCATGGGAAGAGGAGAGGCGGAGAGGAGGAGGAGAGAGGCGGAGAGAGGAGGATGCGAGCAGAGAAAGTTGTTGTGAGAGCAAGTAGGAGAGTCGCTACAGGGAGGGGATAGAGACTTAGCTGCCTGAGGAGATGCGTGGAGGAGGGGGTGTGAAGGAAAGCAAATGAGATTGGAAGTGATGGGAGGGAAAGATAGAGGAGGGGAGAGAGGGCAGGATTGAGCCATAGAAGATTATATGAGAGACTGAAGCATGGAGGATGATGCGAAAGAGGGGCTGGACCAGGAAAGGCATCAAGGCGAAGTGTAGAGGAACAATCGCGAGGAAAGCAGAGGACCTTTGAAGAAATATGTCAGAATTGACGACCATCCATTTCAAATCCTTAAAGATCCTCACGAGTAGCTTTTCAGGTCTCTCGTTCTCTAGACTAAGAGTTCTAGCGACAACAAACATCACCAGTATGAAGGAGATGGAAAACGATTTCGAGTGCTTGGAAGAGATGGATCCGAATCAGGCTCCTGTGAAGATCACACGGCGACTGGAGGACGATGTACCTGTGAGAGGGAGGTCGACAGAGGCTGGTCAGGGTAAGACCAGGAGGAGAACTTCGCCAGTGCAGAAGATTCGGGGAGACATCGCAAGCGCCAAGCTCATTGAGGATCGATTCGTTCAAGACATGTCGACTCTCAAGCTCGCGCCGATCCGAGTGGTGGAGGGAGAACAGCAGCAACGTCGACTCAGGTCGCGCTCAGCTGAAAGGAATCAGCAGGACACGAAGAACCTCACGAAGCTCGCTCCTTCCCGCTCTCAGCACTCTTACTTCTCCAAGTTGAGCAGGCCCTCCAGCCCCGTCCAGGCTGCTCCCAGAGAGCCAGTGTCGGCTGAGAGAACCTTGATCCTGCCGGAGCTGAACATGAGCCGCAGCCCGTCCAACACTTCTCTGTCCTCCTCCTCAGGTGCAAGCGAACCCAAATTCAAGGAGAAAACAAGGAGGCTCCGGGTGAATACGAGGGACAGCGACGCGGCTGTGGCTCGACCCAGGGGCTCATACAGCAGGTCACCCAGCCAGACGAAGCTGGAGGACAAGGTGGATGAGAACGATCAGGATGCTTCGAGCGGAAGTGAGGGCAGCGTCGAGCCGCGCCATCGCCTCCCAAGGAGGGAAAAGCGATCAGCAAGCTTGTCCCAGTCTCCTCCTTCCCCTTCCTTCATGCCTTCCTCCCCTCTCCTGTCCTCTCGCTCTCCTTCCCCTTCAAGGTTATCTCGCAGCCCTTCAGTCTCGAACCTTTCCCGCACGCCCTCTCCTTCTCGCACCAACGCCATGCTCAACTCAAGGATGGTACGCGATCGGTCGCTTGTGAGTCTGGGGAGTGCGGAGAAGCTGTCGTCTCAGGTGGGCAGGAGGTGGGGTTGAGCTGAACTCTGTTCTGACTTGCATGCAGTATGACGTCAACGACGGCGCGCTGGTGGAGGAGACGAGGTCCGAGTACCGTGCCGAAGATTTCTCAGATGTTGTGATTCAGCAGCTGATAGAGCAGCAGAGGAAGAGCATGACAGTCTTGTCGAGATGCTACTCGGGGGCTGACCCGTTCGATGATGTTCAGTTTGTATGATAGCAAGATGTGCATGATGAGTTTTCTCGTTCAAGATGTCGTGGTCCGAACCGTTGTTAACATATCAATGCCTCTGACAGACTTGTTGGTGTACATAAGATAAAGATTGAATGACTGAGCTTGTAATGTCCGAGAATGGAGACAACATCTCCTCGTCACGCACTGCAACATTAGGTGGGATGGGATGGGAGAAGAGGAGAGCAGAGCAGAGCAGAGCAGAGCAGAGCAGAGCAGAGCAGAGCAGAGCAGAGCAGAGCAGAGGAGAGGAGAGGAGAGGAGAGGAGAGGAGAGGAGAGGAGAGCGATGATATGATACGGGAGACGGCATGACAGCGGTGCAAAGAAGTCAGGGGATCAGACTGGAAGTTCAAGTGTTTATCTTGCGTCAATCTTGCATCTTCTCCTTGATCGCACTCTTGACAAGATCGTAGGTTGGAAGGTAGATGGCAGTGAAAGGCATCAACCAGGAAACCCTCGCGATACTCCCGGCAAAGAATGTTCTGAGGAAACAAGAGAACGATCAGTCCACTGTGATCACAAGGATAAAAATTCCTCATCGACTACCCTGCTCCTGCTCCTGCTCCTGCTCCTGCTCCTGCTCCTGCTCCTGCTCCTGCTCCTGCTCCTGCTCCTGCTCCTGCTCCTGCTCCTCCTGCTCTTCCTCATGCTCCTCCTCGTGCACCTCCTCCGATCATTCTTCTCTCACACACCCTTCGCACTGATCTCCTTCTATGCTCCTTTGCGCACTCCTCAACTTCCTCTTCACTCCCGAACTTCTCACCTCCAACCTCCCCTCATCTCCCTCCTCCTCCTCCTCCATCCCCTCTCCTTCTCCTCCTCCTCCTCCTCCTCCATCCCCTCTCCTCCTCCTCTCTGCTTTGCTCTCCCCCCCTGCCCCTCCCCATCACCTCGGCCCGTCCTTCTTGATAATGTCCATGACGACCGTCTTCACCCTGGGAGCAGCGCTGCCCAACTACTCAGACCGGAGGCCTCCGACACTACCCCCACCACCTTCCACTCGTCATCATCCTAGTCTTGATGATGTCCAGAGGGTTCGTGATCCATCCTGTTATGCCCCCCACGGCCTGCGCGCAAACTTTTCATCCCTTGCCCCCGAGCAGGAGAACAGCTGGACTTACAGCTGCTGCCAGCACGTCGTCAACCTTGCTGTTCGCGTTCCCCTGTGACACTTGGTCAGCCTTCTGCTGCTGCTGCTGCTGCTGCTGCTGCTGCTGCTGCTATTCTTCTTGGGCTACTACCCCCGCTCTTCTACCCTTGCCCCTCCTGCCCCTCCTGCTCCTCCTGCTCCTGCTCCTGCTCCTCCCCCTCCCCCTCCTCCCCCTCCTCCTCCTCTCACCTCCTTCTTCCGAAAGTGGCTGATCAACGACTTGATGTTGTCATAGAGTCCAAGCTCCAGCATCGTGTAAGGAACGTCTCTCACGACTGTCGCCTTGTAACCCTAAGGATACAAAGTCAAAGAGCTCAACCTGGTCTAGTAAGTTTCCACCTCCCTCCTTTCCACCTCCTCCCCTCCCCCTCCTGCTCCCTTCATGCCTGCCTGCCTGCCTCATTTTGTTTCTCCTCCGTTCCCTTCCCACGTCCCCTCTCTCCTTTCCCTTCAAGCCTCCTACCTCTTGCTATCCTCCTCTTCCTGCTCCTGCTCCTCTTTCCCTTTCCTGCTCCCTGCCTGCCTGCCTCATTTCGCTCCTCCTCCGTTCCATTCCCACGACTCTTTTTCTCCTTTCCTTCCAATTCTCCCGCCTCCTGTCCCGCTCCTGCTCCTCCTGCCCCCCCCTTCCTCTTCCCCTCTCGACTCATGCTCCCCTTACCTGGAAGAAACCGCGCGGGCCATTCTTCTTCAGGATCCCCGCAGCGCACGCGCGCACAGAGCGGTACATGCCCGCCTGCAGCTGCTGCTTCATCAGCTCCCCAGGGACGAGGACGACAGAGCAGGCGATGAAGGCGACGGCAGCAGACAGGAAGTGAGTGAAAGGTTTCAGGTTCTCGTCGACATGCTGGTCCGCGATGGTCTTGCAGACTTCGTACGCTGCGAACTTCACGCATCCTGCCAGGCTGTCGAACGTCACGTACGGACCCACTCCAGCGTAGAAGCCGCCCAGTCCTCCTCCTTCCCGCATGATCTTTGAGCATGCGCCGAAGATACTAGCGCTCGGGCTTCCAGCCGCGGCACTGCAACATGCGCGTGAGGAGGCAGGAGGCATCAATGCAAGCTTACGATTGCTGAACAGTCTTGATGGTATCGATGGGATGAAGCGCAAGGTCACCTACCGCTGTCGCGATCCCTCCAGCGATCGTAGGAGCAAGCAGCATGTGCTGCTGGAAGGGCTTGTCATCAGCCTTTCCGATCAGAACGCTGGGCATGTCGGGAAGCGACAAGGCAGAGCATGGATCCAAGTGCGCCATGGTAAGTATGAAGACGAAGAAGGTGAGGAGCAGACTTGCTCTATGCTGCTTCTTGTCCAGGATCCTTCTCCCACACACCTTGACTCCTCCGTCGCAGCCCTGTACCAACGAGGGGCCTCTGCACTCTCTTGTCGACCAGGAGTGTTCATGAGCATCAGCATCGGTCTTGCTCTTTGCTTCCCTCTCCTCACTCTCCTCCCTCCTCCCTCCTCCTCCTCTCCCTCCTCCCTCTCCCGTTATCCTATCCCATCTCGCCATGGCCCCCTCTACCACCCCCACCCCTCAATTTGCTGATGTACCCCCTCTTAATCAAAATCACCCATAATCAAACCAGTTAAAGTACCCCTAAGTAAGTACCCCCTACCCACCTTCTTTCCGACTCACCCTCACTCGCAACAAACACACATTCCCCGATAGTGCAACTGACCCGCCTCAGCGATTCATATTTCCTGTTCCGGCCCAAAACAAATATCCATTTTTGAAATTTACATACAAAAATTCAAATAAACTTGAAGCTTAAATTGTTGATAGAATCTGAACTTTTTTGTGAGGAAATCTTGAAATATGAGAAGTCAAGTTGAAAGTATTTCTCAAATTATTATTACGCTCCATTCCATGGCACATTACTTGGCCATAGCGGCCCTCGCAGCCATGGCAGCCCCTTCGATGGCTGAAGGCGGAGGAAGAGGATTCTACTCCTCCTCCCTCTCCTCCTCCTCCTCCTCCAAGCTTTGCTTCCAACCAATTCTTATGAAAGCAGATCCCTCAGCATCGGGACCTCGGGTGGACCGGAGGAGAGCTGTAGGGTTCGGGCTGGGGTTGGCGCTTGGAGGAGCCGTGGCAGGAAGGCCAGTGCATGCAGAGGGGATGATGGAGGCTCTGAGGAAGAGGGTAACAGGAGGGAACGAGGCAGGAGAGCAGGGAGCAGAAGGAGCGGTGGTGGAGGAGGACGGTTGCCAGTCGATGCTGTGCTTCCAGTCGGATCGGACGGGCCTGGGGGAGGAGGGGAAGGAAGGAGCCCTGTCGTTCGCTGTACCCAAGGGATACAAGAAGACGGAGGAAGGGAAGTGGGAGGATGGAGCTGGCGGGTTGGTGGAGGTCAGGATGCGGAGCGCAGAGAGCTCCGGAGTGAAGCTCAAAGAGCCTCCCAAGCGGGCGGCAGGGCCCATGGGAGAGGCATCGGTTAAGTTAAGCGTTGCTCAGGTGAGGAGGAGGAGGAGGAGGAGGAGGAGGAGGAGGAGGAGGAGGAGGAGGAGGAGGAGGAGGAGGAGGAGGAGAGTAGGAGAGGACGAGGAGGAGG